GTGGTAGATAGTCTCCAAATTCGGCTGATATTTTATGAGCATATTTTTCATTTGCCTTTTGAACTTTTAGATGAAATGCTTTTGAATTTTCAATATTTCAAATGTGTGAGCTCAGGAAATACACACATGAGGATCATTTAAATTATTTACCATCAATTGGTATAAATTTTACTTATAAGAACCACAAACATAAGAGAATGTGACTGTGGTTCATTTGATACCCTTAGAAACAAAGAAAAGTTCTGGCTAGAGAGGACTCTTGTGTCTGACTGAAATGGAATAATGATTTCATCTCCTCTGTAAAATGGGGATGATAACAGTAACTCACTCACTGAACTAATATTTTTCATTTAGCTAACAGAACATTTTGAAAAGTTGATGTGCACTACACCCTCTTAAAGGAAGTATAGGTGGAGCACTTAAGAAAAAGCAAAACTCCCTGCCCTTGGGCTACTTTGACCCATAGAGGACATATATTAGAAAGCAGGCAATAAAGTCAAGAAAAGTTAATGGAGAGGGAAACAATCTCAGGTAAGGAAGAGAGATGGACAAGCGTATTGTTCCCTTAGATGGTGGGTTCAAGGAAAGCCTCACTTGGTGACATTTAAGCAAAAACCACAATGAAGACAAGGTAAGATATAGGGGAAGACAGTTGCAAGTAGAGTAATGTGTATAAAGATCCTGAAATGAAAATAAACTTATGTGTTGAGGTGAACCTTGAGCTTACATACCTTTTGATTTCACAATGCAACAGTCTCTGTTACTAAGCATGGGACATCTCTTTACATATTGAATCCTCTCCACAACACATACCATTATCATCAGCTTCAGTTCACACAGGAGGAATCCAAGACAGAGTGTAGTTAGGTTACCTGTCACAGGTCATACAGCCACAAGTGGAGAGCCAGGATAAAAACCATGTGTGATCCACAGCCCATATTCTTACCTTCTTAGTCCTTAGGTGAATCCCATTTCAGGGAGAATGGAAGAAAGGACAGAAGGGACATGATTGGCTCATATTCACACAACAAGACAGAAACCAAGTTGAGAAAAATTCTGACCTGAGATGCCAGAGCTGAGAGCCTATTTCTTCCTTCCTCAAACATTCACTGAGCCTCGTGTCATGGCAAATCCTGACTGGCACTGTCGATGACACGTAATGGCCACTTGTTAGAAATGAAGAGATACGTTGGGTTTGCGCTCTAATTTGCCATTTAATGTTTTCTCCAGCTGTACCCTTACATTCCCCATCCCAGCGCTGTGTGCCCTGGGGTATCTCCATCTGATGACACTTCTGTCTTTCCTGGTTAACATGAGCTCTTTGATTTCAAGGACAGGCTTGTCCCATCACTCTGAGCCTGGCATGCAACAGACTCTCGGGTGACAGCTTATGAATCGATTTCCAGGTAATTGTCCCTCTGATACACACATAACTAACCGTGGGAAATGAAGTTGTGTGATATATTCCTAGCACAGTGACTGCAATGACAAAAATTCATCACACGTTTGGGTGTCCTGCCTGGGCAGTGCCTCTGTGCTCTGAGACACCCCCCTCCTGATGTGTGGGATCTGAGAGTGCTGCCTGAATTTTGTATCACTGGACCAGGGTATAAATAAGGGGGGGAAGGTAGGAGGTAGCCCAGACCCTTGGAGGAGACTGGCCATGCAATGAGAGTCCCAAGTGGAGTGGAAGCCAATTGATAATACTTTCCTTCAGTCCTACTCGAGGACAGGCAATTGTTGCACCCTCCCTTTTGGGTAGATGGTCTCTGGAAAGCGACAGCCAACAGTGAAAACAGGAAACATCTTTCTCTGTGCTCTTCTTGCCCCAAGACCCTAGCATGCAGCCATCTGAAACTTTACAGTCTTCCTTCTCCCATCCTGTACCTCTTCCCATGAGCTTTGTTCCACCACTCCCTCCCAATAAGATGGACTGCCTTCTACAAGCCCATAGGCAGTGGACCCAAACAAACATGGAGTCAAGCCTTTGAAACCATAAGCCAGAGACCCTTCCTCTTTTAAGTTGATCTGGGTCAGATGCTTGTTACAGCATGGAAAGCTGACCACCAGATGACAGGTGGAACAGCTTTTTTTTTTTAACCAGGGTACTCTGAGCCTCCGAGATGATAGCTTGCTTAGAGTTAGAAAGATGCTTAATAATGGCGGGAAAGGATAACAATTCTCTCTAGACTCCCAGGCAAATGCTCCTGCTAATCATTTTCTCTGAAGACTGATTTCAACCTGTCAACCTACAGTCACTGTGGGGAAATTAGAGAACTGATGTGAGTCTTCTCTCCCAGACCATGCTGCTCTTCACTCAGATAATTCAAGTCAATTCACAAATATATTCAATGCTCTTAAATCACTAACATCCTTTGGGGGTGGGTGGGTGTGAGGCATCTACCGGATGCTACTTCTGGCCCTGGGAGAGCTGACCCTAATCCTGAGGTTTACAGGGGAGTTCATGAGTGTCCCTGAGACACTATTATAGCAGTAAACATTTCACTGATAAATAGTAATATTGTTGGGATTGGAAAGGAAGGGCCAAATGCTCTGGAAATAGCAGCTTTCCTGGGCATTGTGGCCTTGGAGTCTGTTTCTATCTAAGGGAGGGAAAATTCTCCTGGGCTGTGAGCTCCTTGAGTACACAAATTGTACTCTGTATTTCTCACAGCACAACCTTGCACAATATATAGTGAAAGGACTGATTGATCTGTATTTGTTGGCTGCATGGTCCTGTTCATGAACTGCTTAGTAGGGATGATCAGGTGAACTGGGTTATAACTTTAGAGAACTTTAGAATACTAAAGTGGTCCTTTTTTTCTGCGGTATCCTGCTGATTTTAAAGTGGGGACTGGGAGAGCTGTGTGGAGGGTAAAGGTTGACATTAAGACCTTTTACTTTATCTGATTTGAAATGTTAGGATTGTTATTTCAATTTTTGTTTTTTGAGTGATATAACTAAAGCTCAGAAAGTTTAGTATTGTACCTCTGTCACAAAGGGTGCAAATACTTGATTTGAGATCTACCTCAGCCTTAATCCCTTGCTTATGCTTCCTCTCCCCTAGTCTCCACTTTACTCTCAGAGATTAGATTCTGAAAGTCCCTGGAGAATTCTTGCCAGAGATATGGCATCACTGTAAATCCCCACCTGCACTTCGATTAACCTTTTTTTTTTTTCTGTAGACAAGGGGCTTAAAGCCAGGTAAAGCCTAAGGCTCCATTGTAGGATCTTTCTGCAAAATCTGTCGCTGTGGGTGTCTCCAGTAGAATGTGTTTCAGGAAGAGGTTTGTCTGCTGGGGCAGGACAGCGGGTGTCACTCATCACTGCTGGAGGGCAGAATCCGGGGCTGGGGGCCGCACGTGGAGAGGGAGGGGCCACGGGCGGCCCCCTCGTGACCAGCCCCGAGGAGAGGTCACAAGAGAAGACTGACGTTCCATTATCACGCGCCTGGGGCCCAAGGTAACCAAGGCATTTATATATAAACACTGGGGCTGGGGGCGTTACGGGGGACCGTTGGAGACGGGAGCCCATACTTTGGGGTCGCGCACTTGGACGGTGGTAGCCATGGGCCGACGATGCTTGGAAGGAGTGAGCAAGGAGAAATCCTAGGAAATGAGGGGTCAGAAGAGAGAAAAAAGGTGTCAGAGCACAAGAGCGAAAGATCGTGAGAGGGCGCTAGAGCGTGGCGTAAGCTTGGCGGTAGGGGCACAAGATGGACCACACCGGGCCCAGAAGCATAGGTAAGATAGGACACTTCCTTCCCCCGAGTCCATTTTCCAAAGGTAACCTCCTGTCAGCCATATTTAAGATAAAACGTTGATCCAAGTATTTTTAAGATAAGGAGGAAAGAACGTCAGAGAAAGCTGTACCAATGCGACGCTGCGCAGGGCACAGAAAGGGCAGTCAGAGAGAGGGTGTCACCTTTAAAAAAGAAGTTTCCATTGCGGCACTATTCACAATAGCCAAGTTATGGAAACAGCTAAGATGCCCCACCACTGACGAATGGATTAAGAAAATGTGGTATCTATACACAATGGAATTTTATGCAGCCATGAAGAAGAACGAAATGTTATGGAATTGGAGAACATCATTCTGAGTGAGGTTAGCCTGGCCCAAAAGACCTAAAATCGTATGTTCTCCCTCATATGTGGACATTAGATCAAGGGCAAACAACAATGGGATTGGACTTTGAGCACATGATAAAAGCCAGAGCACACAAGGGAGGGGTGAGGATAGGTAAGACACCTAAAAAACTAGCTAGCATTTGTTGCCCTTAACGCAGAGAAACTAAAGCAGATACCTTAAAAGCAACTGGGGCCAATAGGAAAAGGGGACCAGGAACTAGAGAAAAGGTTAGAGCAAAAAGAATTAACCTAGAAGGTAACACACACGCACAGGAAATCAATGTGAGTCAACTCCCTGTATAGCTGTCCTTATCTCAACCAGCAAAAACCCTTGTTCCTTCCTATTATTGCTTATACTCTCTCTTCAACAAAATTAGAAATAAGGGCAAAATAGTTTCTGCTGGGTATTGAGGGGGTGGGGGGGAGAGGGAGGGGGCGGAGTGGGTGGTAAGGGAGGGGGTGGGGGCACGGGGGAGAAATGACCCAAGCCTTGTATGCACATATGAATAATAAAAGAAAAAAAAAAGAAGTTTCCATCCTTTCCACCCTAAAGCTCTTGTTTCCCCCTCCCACTCCCCATCTTTCCTCCTTCTCCTTTCCGCTCCCCCTCCCCCCGTACCCGCATGATGTGATCGCCTTTAAACCAGGTAACCTCGGTCGGCACACCAGCTCTGGGAGCCTCTGAGTTGAGGGGGTGGAGCCCGCAGCCGCCGCTGGCTGAGCTCAAGGGCCAGTGGGAGGGGTCCCGAGGGTGCTAACGGCGCGCCGCGGCCATGACGCCTGGCACATCATTCACAGAAGTTCCTGTCTCCTTCCATCTACAGGCGCAGGTCGCCTTCTGACGCATTTCTTCCCAGGCCGGGGAGTGGGCTGATGGCCCAGATTGGAGACGCTTCCCCGTCCTCCGGCTCGGTAGCCCGTAGGAGTTCGGGCAGCGGAGGAGGAGCCTCTGCGGAGCAGGCAGCAGAGAAGGCGGGGACAATGGAGGAGGAGGAGATGGGGGCGGCGAAGGCATACGCGGTCCAGGAAGCTGAGATGAAGCTGGAGTCAGGGCAGGAGCCGAACCCCGTGCCTGAGAAGAACTTGATGTGGAGCGGCAGTGGCGACGCTGAGAAGGTGTTCCCACCAACCCCCTCTAGCTGTCACAGCAGCAGCTCATCTGCTTGCCCGCGTCGCAAGCCCCGCCCTCGGCCCCAGTCCCGGTCCCGCTCCCTTGGCCGGCCCGGGCTCTTGGCCCCACCCCCACCTGCCATCCGGCCCCAGTCTCTCCCACTGCCGCAGCCACCTCCGCCCCCATCGCGTTCCCCCGCCTGGCGCAAGTCCAGGCGTAGATCCATACCTGGGGCCAGGCCCCAAACACGGAGAGGCTGCTCTGGTAACCCAGAGGGCTCTGGCTATCGAGGCCAGGTTAAATTTGATCCGGGTTCCACAGGCTGCTTTCATGTGCAGAAATTTAAAGTAGCCAAAAATTGGCAGAAGAACCTGCGGATGATCTACCAACGTTTTGTTTGGAGTGGGACCCTGGAGACTAGGAAACGTAGGGTAAAGCCATGTATCTGTCATGTATGTAGCACCCATATGAACAGACTCCACTCTTGTATGTCTTGTGGCTTTTTTGGCTGCTTTACTAAGAAACATATTCATAAACATGCAGAAACAAAACGGCACAACTTAGCAGTAGACGTCTATTGTGGAGTTATATATTGCTTTATGTGTAAAGATTATGTATATGACAAAGATATAGAACAGATTGCCAAAGAAACAAAAGAGAAAATTTTGAAAGTATTAACTTCCACCTCAACAGAATTTTCTCATGAACAATTTATGACATTGGGTGTTGAAGAGAAACAATCACCCTGTGAGTCAAACGATCTGGAACCAAAATTGGTGAAACCCAAGAAAAAGAGGAGAAAGGAGTCAGTGTATACTGTAGGCCTCAGAGGGCTAATCAACCTTGGGAACACCTGCTTTATGAATTGCATTGTCCAGGCACTTACTCATACTCCTCTACTAAAAGATTTCTTCCTCTCTGATAAACACAAGTGTGTAATGACAAGTCCAAATTTATGTCTAGTCTGTGAAATGACTTCTCTTTTTCATGCTATGTACTCTGAGAGCCGAACTCCTCATATTCCCTGTAAGTTATTGCACCTGATAGGCATTCATGCAGAACATTTAGCTGGGTACAGGCAGCAGGATGCCCATGAATTTCTTTTTGCGATATTAGATGTGCTACATAGACAGAGCAAATATGATAGTGTTGAACAGGAGGCCAGTAACCTCAACTGCTGTAATTGCATCATAGACCAAATCTTTACAGGTGGCTTGCAATCCGATGTCACCTGTCAAGCCTGCCACAGTGTCTCTACCACCATAGACCCATGCTGGGATATCAGCCTGGACTTGCCTAGCTCTTGTGCTACACTTGGTTCCCAGAGCCCAGAGAAGGCTGACAGCACAGTGAGCAGGGATGACCACATACAAGGAAGCCCCTCACTTACGGATTGCCTGCAGTGGTTTACGAGGCCAGAGCACCTAGGAAGCAGTGCCAAAATCAAATGTAGTAGTTGCCAAAGCTACCAGGAATCTACCAAACAGCTTACAATGAAGATATTGCCTGTGGTGGCCTGTTTTCATCTAAAGCGGTTTGAACTTGTAGGCAAACAGAGGCGAAAGATTAATACTTTTGTCTCTTTTCCCTTGGAACTAGACATGACTCCGTTTTTGGCCTCTACTAAAGAGAGCATGATGAGAGAAGGCCATCCACCAACAGATTGTGTTCCCAATGAGAATAAGTATTCCTTGTTTGCAGTGATTAACCACCATGGAACTTTGGAAAGTGGTCACTATACCAGCTTTGTCCGTCAACAAAAGGACCAGTGGTTCAATTGTGATGATGCCGTCATCACCAAGGCTACCATTGAAGACTTACTCTATAGTGAAGTGTATTTACTGTTTTACCACAAGCAAGGTCTAGAGAAAGACTAGTCTTACCAGAACATTCACCAGAAAAGAGTAAAATAAATGATTAGGTAAAGATTCGAAGTGACACACAAATCCACCTGAAATGGACAATGACAAAATTATTAATGATGTTTAAAAACAGAATATTTAGAGATTCTTAAAATTTTAAGAAATGTAAAATGAATTAAAACAGTTGAAATGTAAGTTTACAAAAAGGTTAGTGAAAGAAACACTTTAAAATGTTGGAGAAAAAGGAAAATCACTTAAACATTCCAATGTTTAAAATGAAAAGTAATATAGATTTAAAACATTTAAAGCATAAAATCAAAGGCTTACAAAGATATGCCTATAGTGATTAAGTATATATTGTCACAATATGAAGAATGGACTGAAAACTCGAGTCAACTTCAGAAAAATGTCTTAAAAGAAGAAAGATTAGAACCATTGAAGACAAAAAATTTTGTTTTAAAGTGTTCAAAAAGAAAAATTAGAGAAAATAGAATTTTAAAGTATGAAAAAAACCTTATATAAGTTCAACTTGAGAGGTTTAAATGAAAACTTCAAAATTTAAGGATGATATTTTAAGGGTAACATAAAAATAAGCTTAAAAAGAAGAACATTCTCATATAAAATGACAATTGAAAGACATCAAATATTCAAATAAAAAAGTAGTTAAATGTTTTGAAGTTTTATTTTTTTAATTAAGCATATTACAATATAAACGGGTATAAAAGAAGTAAATGGAGGAGATAGGAATAATAAGACGAAGGGTTTGTGATGACATATATTATTTGAGGTTTTTTGTTAATACATAAATACAATTTGGAAAAAACAGACTGTTTAACCCTTATCTCACCATCCAATTGTGAGATGGCTGCAAAGCCTGAACACTAGCCCACCTTTCCATGTTCCTTCTGATTATCTGAAGGAAAAAGAGCTACTTAGGCAGAATCAACTTTTATATGAGAAAGTTAAACATTAGAGACTTTCCCATTTAGATCTGCATTTTTTCATAAAAATTCTTAGCTTCTAAAAGGGGGCTTTTGATAATTTGGAGGCTTAAGAGAAATCAGATCATTACTGTGAAGCTCTGGTTTTGGTATTTGTGCCCCATGGTCTGATAGAAGAAGTGGCAGGAACCCATGTCTGAGGACCTCCCACCCTCTCTGCTTTCAGTCTTTCCCCTCATGGGGAAACACTTTAATTTCCACACTAGAAGTATGGGTTTGGGCTTAGCAGTCCTGCTCATTCCTTATTCCCTCTTTATTTCCTTATCCCCTTTACTCATGCCTCATTCCCTGAACCCCACACTTTCCTAGCCTTACCTATGTCTCTGAGCCCCAGCCTGCAAGGCTCCTTCCTTAACTATTCACCTAGTGGCTTTTACTCCCCCAAGACCCAACTCTCAGATGACTTCTTGGGAGCCTTTCTGGGATACACTAGGCTGGTATAAATTAGGTAATTGTTCCTCCCTCCCCATCTTTATCCCTCTTATTGTGCCTCCAAAGTACTTTGTTGATACCTCAGTGATAGTACTTATTCTACTGTAATGAAATCTACTGTAGCTTTGTGATTGCCTGCCTCTCTGCACCAGACATTCTGAGAATGGAGGGTCAAGCCTTACTCATTTTTGTGTTTTGTGTTTTGTGTTTTGTGTTTGTTGAATGTGAGGATGAGTTCTGTTATTTGCTCTATTCACCCTGTCAGTAATGCATTTTCACCCTTCTGTTCATCCATCAAGCTCTCATTAAGTGCCCAGTGCTATAATACAATGTGATTAGTGATTCTTTCCCTAAGAAATGCAGCTTAGCTACAGGGAATGGCTTAAGAAAGGATGTGCTTAATGAGAGAAGAGAGGGAGGCTTAAATACAGTTTAGGCAAAAGAGCACAGCCACGGAGATTGGGAGAATGGGAAACTGAGAGAATGGAGTGTGGGGAACAGCAGCCAAGGTGAAATTGAGCTCTCTGCTATCTATGGCAATGCTGCCCCTCATCACAGTGTTCCTCAACAACCCCACAGTATCTCTGCATTACAAATGTGCTACACCTATATAGGATATATCATATGAGTTTACTTTTCCCATGAGATATAGTGTACCCACCACTCCACAGTGGTTACATATCACACTGCACATCATGCACATCATGGCTCTGCTACAGAAGAATGATGTCTTGTAATTTTGTCAGAGAGCTGTAATTTCTCTGCTTAGCACTCTTGTTCTTCCACTAGTCTTTGGTGGTGCAGGTTGGGCTATGGATTACTTTGCTCTGCCTCTCCCCTACTACACAGGATGGGCATATCAGTCAGAATAGGCCAGATTAGTTTTCACTCTCCCCATACCACTCTCACATAAGCAAAGCTGCTTGCCTCATGGGGACCAGGAAGCAAAAGAGGTGGGGCAGGGTCCCAATACCCCAGTGACATAAATTTACTCAACCTCCTAAAGGTTTCACCACCTCCAATAGTGCCATAGACTAGCAACCAAGTCTTTAACACATGTGCCTTTGGGGAATATTGAAGTTAAACCCATAACAAGCTGTTAGCAGTTATAACCTCAAACTCATGGCAACTTAGCAAGAATCTTAAAGCATTTTCCAACTTGCAAATATTTGTCTCCTGTCTTAGTCACTTTGTGCTGTTATAACAAAATACCTGAAACTGGGTAATTTATAAGGAACAAAAATTTATTTCTCATAGTTCTAAAGGTTGGCAAGTCCAAGATCAAGGTGCCATCAGGGTTAGTCTCTGTTGAGGGCTGCTGCCTTTTTGCAAGATGGCAGCTTGGACACTGCTTCCTCCAGAGGGGAGAACATTGTGCTCTCAATTGGTAGGAGAAAGAGAAAGGCAAAGGGAGACCTAGTCAGACCCCTTCAACCCTTTTATAAGAACACTAATCCATGCATGATGGCTGAGTGCTCTTGACTAATCACCTCCAAAGGGCAATACTTCTTAATTCTGTTGCACTGGGGATTAAGTTTCAACATGTGAATTTTGGGGAGTCGTATTCAGACCGTGTCATTCCCCAAGTCTACAAAGTGTATTATGAGGTGACTAGAAAGGCCACTGCCAATCTCATGGTTCTGTTATGACCCATCAGCAGGAACGGAAGGCTTGCTGGTTTAAGGTGAGACTCTTCAATTTCTATGGACCCAGATAAGCTCTGCTTATAAATGCATTGAGAAGTAGCCTCAAGACATGGAATATCCCCCTCAAATTGTGGTGACTTTTGAACATGAGCTTGTCTTCCTGTGGAGTTTTCAAGAAAGTTTAGTAAAAAATGAATGAATGACAAAATGGAACTCCAGTATCTTGGGACCTGAATCTATGTACATGTTGTGAACTTGGACCTGGGGTTTAAACATCATGTATCAGGAGGTGAAGGAGCACAAATCCAAAGTTGCAGCGAGGTGAGGAGAAGCAGAAATGGAGTCAATAATAGGTGTCCAAGAGGACTTTGGGGGAATGTGGGAAACAAGTGTTAGAGAAGAAATAGCCTGTTTTCCGTGGTTGGTAAGTGGGTAGCAAAAGGGAATGCGAAGGTCCTTGGTCACCTGAGAGGCAGTTCCTCTTACCTTTCTGGCTTACTACCATCCTTTGGGATTACTCTAGTGGGTTTTCCTCTATTAGCAGAAGTTTTGGGAAGGATAAGGACATCCCAGTAGCCCTGGAAGTCACAATTGTACCACCTCTACTGAAATTACCCAGTCACCATCAACATGTACCATCCTGCTTCACTCAGAATTGCCCTAATGATTTAGACCCACATTTTAATGGTAGAGCCCAGAGAGATTACAACAGGGAGAGGGAGTGAGGAGACAAGATTCCACATTAGCTACAAGTTTGCCCACAGAGGTGTTCCTGTTCTGGACAACTTCCACTGATCCTGCCTCCCAGCTCCACCTCCTTCATAGATAACCCCACTGATATATCCTCCAGGCAGTCTTTTCAGATCCCACACATTAGCAGGTAGAGGCTCTGAGAACAGACAGGCATTGTGTAGGCAGGACCCCAGAATATGAGGAGGGTCCAGACAGTTCCCTCAAATTGGACCACATACCCAGATCCTTCCCTCTCCTAATCTTTGTCCCTCAGTCAGCAGATGGAAGTTTGCATAAAGGCCACCCACAAAGAAGGAAGGTGTCCGGTGGAAGAGGTGCCAAACACCTCCAAATCTCAGTCAAGTAGGAGTAATTGAAGGGAAAGTACTTTAGAATATTAAACTGAACTATGAAGGAAAATGTGTTTATTTTCTCCCCTAGGTAAGGGCATTTGCTCAGTCACAGCTAAGAAAAGTGTTTCTCATTTTTGTATTAGCAATCCTAGAAGGAAATGCTGGCTAGGCCATTTGCTATCTGTGCAAACTGGGCTTAGATCCTAGCTTCTCCTGAGCCTGCCTTACATCTTTTATGCAGACAGGCAGTCAAGAAGCTGTTTATAAGTACTTATATCTTCTGACCTTCCATTTTTTTCATGTGTAAAGTCAAACTCCAGAGAATTTGAGTTTCACAGATTCATTTATTCAGCGGATAGGTAAAGAGCACCTCTTACAGGGCCAGGGATTAGGAATACAAAACCAAACTGGGCACAAAGCAAATGAGTCAGAGTCCTTGACTGAGGGCTGTATCAGGAAACCCACAGGAATATGACATGAAGATTATTAATGTAAGCTAATAAATGCACAAGAATCACTTGTAATCCACAATTTGACACTTGAACAGTGGGATTGCTATAGTGCTTCAAAAAGTTTTGGAAAACAGTTGTTAGTGAACTAATTAAAAAGCCTTCAATTGGCCTAGATTCTATCACTGCTAAACAAATTACCTTTTCAGCAGTAATGGTTATATAAGAAAACCTCAGACTGGCACAATGCATTGATTTTGCAAAAATTGGAATGATTGGGTCTGGGTAGTTTAGGGTTTTTTGGAATTCACTGGTTCCACACGTCAGCCTACCTCTGAATCTTCTGTTTGACTTAATAAAACAGATAAGAAAACCGCAATCAAGAGTTTCTGATTTAGTGCT